AAAATAAATCAGACCGTTAGTTTTCTAGATTGTATTGTTTTACATTCGTCATTTTGGGGCCTTTTAAAGTTGGCTATGCGGTAGGGTTTTGCTCATTGTTGAAGGCCGTACGGTGACCTATACATGTATTTACTAACCTGTTAAATCATATGGTCGCTGGTGGAGAGTTGTCTTATTGGCAATCATACCACATCTCTTTAATCTTATATTAAGTGTACGAATTTCAACACATGCCAACATACATTCCTAACAAAATAATGCATCAATGCAATTAGTGTACATTGCTACTATTTTGTTGAGTGTATTTTCTGTAGTATATTATTCTATTTTATTGTTTTTATAACACAGGTTACATATCTATTGTCTGTGTATTGCATATGTTATTGTTTATAATAATATTGTTTGTATGCTATATGCCCTCCTGGGGCCCTAATTTGGTAAATAAAAATATTCTATTCTATTCTATTCTATTCCTTCGTCAAAAAAAAATTTGTATTGAGATTTAAGAAGTAAAAATGCAACTGATACAATGAAAACACAAACGAGCAAAATAAATCAAAGTACTATCACAGTCATGATTTCTCATTTAGACATTCACGGATGTAAACACAATTGTCAAGTTTTACGACTCTGCATTGATTTTGTTTATTTTGATCGTTGACGATTTAGATGTTGAAGCATTAAAATTCTATACACAAATGGTATTGTAGATGAATCCTTTATAAAAGAGAATATATGATTTTTTTTATGTTACAAAGGGAATAATGAGCGATGTTAGTAATCATGGATCACGTGGACATAAATTGAAATGACATCAGCAACATATCAACGCCATCATTAACTCTTTTCTCAGTATTCATGTAATTTGTACATCAGTAATAAAGGATGAGTATGATATTGTTGATATATATAAATATACATATTTAAGTAGCATATATAACATGTTAGCTTTGGACTGTTATAGAAAATTTAAATATTTTACAAATTATAGAATATGTTTATATTTATGCATCTCAATGCTTTTTGTTTTTCAGATAAAATAAAAATTACAAAAAACATATCAACATGGATCGAACATTCTTTTTCACTGATTACGACATCAAGAGCGGAATGCCAACATGGTCAAACCAAACACTGGGATATTGATTTTCCGCTAAAGGAATAAAAAAAAATACCGAACTCCAAGGTAAATTCATAAAGGTGTTCATAAAACCTAACAAAATCAAACGTTTGATTATGTCAACCAACGGAACGAATGGATACCAACTGCCATATTCCTGGTTTGATTCAGGCATTACCCAAAGAAACTCGTGGATAAAACCTGGTTGTATAGCTAGCTTAACCTCCCAGTTGTATGACAGTTGTTTATAGTTCCGTTATATTGACAAAATTGGGTGAGCAACCAAAACAGACTTAATTGGTTAATATAATAATATTGGGAACCAGCAGACAAAAATGTGTAAACATACATCACAGACATACATTACAACTGAATAAAAAATTCAAACAAACATACAAATAAATCTGACAAAGACGACATCATAAAAGTTATTGTAGTTGATAATAAATCTGATAAAGACGCCAACAAAATTTTTTTGTAGTTGATAGTACATAACGGATATAAAAACATAATGCCGTTCTAGTATACACTTTTCCGATAAAGTATACATTAAGTAAAATATAAATACAAGGGTAAACAAAATGAAAACAACACTGTCCGAATCGCACCTCTGAACCAATCTGCAACAGGACCGCCCAAAGACAAAAACCCGTTAGCTAGTGCACAAATACCGAGAAACGCCAAGAGTCATACGACCAAAAGGGGCATTATAGCACAAAGACAAATAAATAGAAAACTGTAAAGCAAATAAAAAGATACACAACTTACGCACCTAGAACCTATAACTCAAGACCATCGTGTGTTACTTGTGAAGTAGATACTCTGTCTGAATAGTTATATATTAAATCTTGGAACTTTCTGACGAACTTTTTTGAGAAAAAAGACGAGACGTTCTTCTAATTAATTTTTTGCTCAGACACCTATATAAAAATATGGAGATGTGGTATGATTGTCCATGAGACAACTATCCACCCAATTTCAAATGAAGTGTATGTAAGCAATTATAGGCAACCGTACGGCCTTCAACAATGAGAAAAATCTATACCGTAAAGTCGGCTATAAAAGGCCCCGACATGAAAAATCTGAAACAATTCAATTGAAAAAACTAACGGCCTAATTTATTACAAAACAATTTACGAAAAACAAATATAACAGACATGAACCAACGACAACCACTGAACTACAGGCTCCTGACTTGGGACAGGCACATAAAGAATGTGGCGGGATTAAACATGTTTTTGAGCGCTCAACCCTCCCCCTAATCTAGGACCGATGACGTTTTACAAAGTCCGAGTAGCAGCAGTACGCTCTAGAATATTGTACGAGTTGAGAAATGTATACTCCATACGCGGGTAAAGTAAGTTTAATGCTGCTAAGGTGAGGAAAATAAAATTGTAATTTCAAAATTGAAATTGTCTCGTTTGTCATAGATTCTTGTACTGAGATGACAACTGTAATCCAATTCGAGGTTTATGCATAGAAATGAGACAGAAGAAGCTGTATATGTGGTGTCTTAATCTCTAGTTAAAGAGCCTAGGATATATTAATGGGAACCAATCAGAAAGCATTGGATTGTTAATGGAAAGTACATCGTCAAAACACCAGTATGTGAAATTAAATTATCTAGATTATTTTATTTTGTTGTGTTTTACAACTGTCTGAAGAAACTCCTACTCATAGCAAATAAAAACAGATCGGCCAGTAGAGGTGCACAGTTGGTTCCCATAGGAATGCCGACAACCTGCTGGAAAATTATACCACCAAATTCAACAAATATGTTGTAAATGAGAGCTCCAGCACACTGATCACTTGTTCTTCGGTATAGGATGTTTTTTTTCGGGCTACTTTTTAACAAAGTATGCCAAATTATGTCCATAAACAATTAATTTTTTAGCTTATGGTATTTTTTTTTATAGAAGAAAGCATTGTGGATAATTTCTTTTAGACGGGTTTTCAATTTTTCATGTGGTATGATGGTGTAAAGGGTGGGAAAATAGAAGGCTTTGATAGAATTTATTTCAAAGAGTGACAGAGATCTTCCAGAAGTTCTTTTGAGTTCTTAAGAATCCACATACGGTTAATGCCACTACGCGAGTAAACAGTATTTCTCTTTACCCTCTTTCACTGCGGACAAAATTTATACGTTGACATTCATTCATTTGCACGAGGAACATACCCAGGAACTGCAATAAGTTGATTTAGAACTTTAAAAGTGTTTCTATATACTGTCCTATGTTTTGGGGTACAGACTTGAAGCACACTCCACACCTCGTAATTGTTTATTAATTTTGCATGTCTGCATGTACACGTGTTCCTCTTTAAAAAGGCGCTTTTTTATTTGATGTAGCCAGTTGGTACCGTTGATGTTGTTACAACTGCGACCAATGGAAATCATTACCTCATGGATCCGAAATTCTGACTTAATCCGCCAAGGGTGAAGAGCAGGAAGCCGGATCGTAATCCTTGGCTAGCGAAGATGGTTGGTTCTTTGGAGTTAATGCGAATTTCTATGTCAGAAGAGTTCATTTAGCAAAACGGGAGTGGGTGACACACTATATATTTTTCTTCGTTTGAAACTCATTGTGCTTATTCTTCAGTTTGGGAACATACAAAAGAACACTTTAGTCCACATTCATCACATGCACGTACTTTATTATTATACCCACAATAACAATAATAAGTATTTGCTGACGTTTATGAAAAGCTAATACTTGTGTATTAATTGCTTGATATGTTACTAGTATTCTATATACATGCAATTTAATATTATGCATTGATTCTTTCTGTAACATATACATTTAAGCGACACATATTGATTTAAAATGTTCAGTATATAAACTGTATAATTGTATAAAATTTAAGGTAGAAGTTCCTGCAAGAGTGATAATTTCCATTTTTTCCAGTTCTAAAAATGATATATGTAACATTTCTATTTCCAGAGATACAATCAATTAAAATTTTGGGAAACAAATCTATAAATGTGTAGAATGTACGTGAAAAACGACGAAAAACAACATTTTTGAGGTTTAAATTGCGATTTATAATAATTCGTTCCACAGAAAATTGTTTTCAATAAATTAAACGATATGTTTTTGCCATTAACATTTTCGTTTTAATAATATAAAATTTGTACAGGGTCGCGGATTCATTTATGACATAACGTAACTATCTTTAAAACAACGTAATGATGTATAAATCATTATATATGTCCCCAGCTCCTAAGTCAGAAGCCTGTAATTCAATGGTTGTTGTTGGTTGCTGTCTGTAATAATTTTTTTTCGTGTATTGTTTTGTAAAAAATCAGGCCGTTGGTTTTATCGTATGAATTGTTTCATATTTAGTCATGTCGAGATCTTTAATAGCTGCCTATACGGTATGGGTTTTGATCATAGTTGAAGGCCGTATGGTGACCGATATCTGCTTAAATCCACATCAGTTTGACTCTAATTTATTGTTGTCTCATTGGCAAACATACCACATCTTATGTTTTGGGAATATTGACTTGAATTCGCTCGTACCCATCATTCTTTGGTCTTTATTCAATAATGACGTTAAATTCCTGGCTATTCATTGGTTCTCTTATAGCGGCATGAACTTGGGAGACCACGATGTCGTTACTAAGTAGGATACCAGAAGAATGGTGTTTAAGTATGATTTTTTTTAAATACAGTGCTATATCACCAGATACACCGGACGCAAAAGTTGACATGTTTTTCTTCGGTTTTAATGTGTTGCTAGGTTAGTGTTTGATTGTCCTCAAATATCTTTTTATCCATGTGTACATGTAGTACTCGTGTGGTCTCGTGTGCTTATTCACACTACCTCGTCCTTAATTTGTAATGAGACGATATCTTAAGTATTAAAAAAAATAAATACTCACATATGAGAAGCTGGCATAAAAGTTTCGTAATTTCCATTGTACAAACCATAACTCACTCTCCATTTTGCTCATAAACGAAAATTAGTTCGTTTCCATAGCTGTCTATAGGAATAAAGTTTTAAACCATTAGAACCCTTAACTAACTTCTTAACACATTTCACTGAATCATAGTGCCATCTTCTATATATATAATTCCATCGAAGTCAGATATCTAACCAGGATATAAAACATATTGCTCATTTCTCTAAGCGTTTTCCCCTTGCATACAAACTCGATTATCAATAAAGACTCTACTAAAGCTATGTCTTACTGAAGCAAATATAAAATATTTATTGAATTAATAGGTTGGAATTCAAACAAGGATGCAAAACACGTCATTATAAGTCCCAAATGGAACCATTTACAACCATATACACCGTACTTTGTTGATGATCGCCATTATTGATAAAACAAGGTCAGCAAAATCTATAAATGGTTAACGCTTCAGAGTTATTTCCGTTATATTGACCCGTTTTGTTAAATAATCAAGATCATTCCCCATCCTTTGATATACTATAGTATCAATTTTATTTGTTAACTATGAAAATGTAGGCCAATTGAAAATAACAATGTAAAGAATAAACATCATCAGTTCAAACATACAACATATCATACAGTGTTGATTGTGTTTTATATGCTTCGTAAAACACCTATCTTTTTTTCTGACAACAGAGTCATAAAGTAAGGAGATGTGGTATGATTTCGAAGGAGACAACACTCCAACAGAATCCAAATGACGTGGATTTAAGCAATTATAGGTCACAGTATGGCCTTCATCAATGAACAAATATTATACCGTGAAGTCAACTATAAAAGGCTTGACATAACAAAATGTGAAACAATTCAAACGAAAAACCGAAGGGATTGGTTAGTTAAGAAAGTGAAAGCTTCATTATGTTAAGGAACATTCGACATTTCGAAAAATACCAGAGAAAATGAAAAATTTCCTTAGCCGATCGGTGATTTCTTCTCGAGACGCGTATTTTTCACAAATGCTTCTCCTAAACATGATATATCTGTCTAATGCGTGAAGGAAATAGAAAAAAAGGAAAACTTAGTATAAATTCTCCAAATTACAAAAAATTAAGATATTGACTTTTGACGAGTTTTAAGATAAACTAAAAATATAAATTACGAATCGAATTTAAACATGAAATATATTTCACTTCAGAATTTAAAATGGTATGAGTCATACTTTTTTTTATACGAATATCCAAACAAATATCTAGAGCTGTATTTCAAATAATGTTTTTATCAAAATCTGATGTGATCACTATTGGCTATCCAATCAGCTAAGTATCGTCTTGAGCTCGTCATTATATGATATAAATGCTGTAGTATCCTTTGTCCCTCTTGTTGAAGTGTTTGTTATAGTTGCCGAAAAGATTGAGGGGCTAGTTGACGCTAGCGCACGCGCCGATCCAATTTGACCTATAAATGTTCAATCGGATTAAAATATGATCTAGATGGTCAGGGTATGACGATGTTATTTTTTTCGCAAGAAAATCGTGCTATATGCAGCCTGGCATATAGTATCGGCAGCTGGCAATAGAAGAATTTTACATTGATGGCGCGATGCAGTTTAGTTGGTTGGGATGTGATCCAACTGTGTTCTTTGGTTGTGATGCGTGGGAAATAAACACCGTTGCATGTCACCTTAAGAACACGCTTGTTGGTAATTCTGCCAAAGATATGCTCCGGTGAACATCATATCGTTTTATCAATATGCAGTTGTATATATTCTAAGACTCTCCGAACGCATAACATCCGATAGCGATATTCTGTGTAGCAAAATCTACGACAAATAGTCTTGATAGGCAAAAAGTATTGGGGGAGGGGGAGGGGGCGGGTTCCGTACGTACAACTGGGACCATGTGTAATTCTATGTTGTGTGCCTTTGTTTGAACATCCATTTTTTTCGGAGGAGTCGGGTGTTGGTGATTGATGTCTATGATACTGTCCAGTATTTTTTGTGATTCTTGTTATCCTGTTAAATATCATAGTGATGTCATTTAATCCCCCCAACAGTTTCACGTTAGTAAAACGGAAATGGTCACCCCTTTGACATACAGTTTTATACAATATCATTGGGATAGAATGTTGAGAATCACATATTTTAGGTCATCGTACGACCTTCGACAATGAACAAAACCCATACCATATATCGTAAGCTTTAAAATGCCCTAAAATGTTAAGCAATACAAAAGAGAAAACTAACCTAAAAACACTTATGATGGCAAACAAATGGTTACAAGCGACAACCACTGGACTAAAGGCTCCTGACTTTGGACATGCACATAAAGAATGTGGCGAAGTTAGACATGTTTGTCAGTATTGTAGCAGTACAACATTAGAACAAACAGTTACTGTAAAAATCAGTTTGAAAGTGCTTGAATCATCAGTTCGGTACTAATGACAAAACAACTAACAAAAATACATAAGTTACTCATCTAATAGTAACTATATTGCGTCAACAATCTTCATGAAAAAAAATTGGGAAAAGGTCTGCCGAGTGATTTAATTTATGTGTTCCTAAGTTATTTAAATACCAATGCAGATACAACTTTAAACATAAAACAGTATCCTGTAGTTTGATTTAATGTATCTAGATGATGTGGACTTGTACATATTTTCTTCATCAGAACTGAGCAAGTCTGTTCAATAGATGTTAGTGTGCAAAATATTTAATTGATTATTGATAGTATCATGGAAAGAATGATTCTTTCATAGATCTTTTTATACAAGTTTCATTTATTTCTGCTCACAGCGAGCAAATTGTTTAAAGAATTTTATTCAATTCTGAATATATATTAAATGAAAAACAAAAACTGCTACATGTATGTGATTCGAAAACAGTCTCATATTGAATGTTAATTTTATTCTAAAAAAACTGCAAACTGTTTAATAGGTGTGTTATGATAGCCAATTAGACAACTATCCGTCAAGAAAAAAGGACAAAGGTGCGAACAATTACATGTCAACTTACGGACTTCAATGATGAGCAAAAACCATACCGTATAAGGCCCCGGCATGAAAAAATTTGAAATACTTCAAAAGCGAAAACCAACCACCTGATTTATACTAAAACAATAAACAAAAATATATGACTGAAAGCAACCAGCAATAACAAAATGTGCTTGGCTTGGGACATGCACATACAGAATGTGGAATGGATTTGACTCATCAGGTCGGTTATATAGCATAAAACAAATAACAAACAGGCAAACAGTACCGATCTGAAAGAACTCGTAGTTCCAAAAAGATAGCTCAAAGCCCAATTTCAACTAAAGAATTAACCATGTTCTTCGAGACTAAAATTTAAATATGTACACCTCTGTCGGATTTAATAAAAAAAAAAAGAAAACGTCACGAGCAGTCTTAGAAAAAGCAACCATGACTTTTGTGCAATGCCAAAATACAAGCACCGACAGGAATATTATTAAAGAACCATAATGCCTAGATAGCAGTACATGTTTAGTTTAATATATTTTTGTATGTATTAAACTATCAAAATATATATAAAATTGATGTTAGTATCAACAAAGACATTATTTAAAACAAGATATTATGAATATGCTAAATTGATAACTTTTGAGGGAATCTAAGATGATTTAATTATCTGTACAAGTATTCTTATGAAACGCTAAAAGCATGGGTTTCTTTAACGCCATTACTTTGACACTGTGACCTGACTCCTGAAGAACTTATTTTCATGAGTATTATTTAAACTTGAATACAGTCAGACATAAACATTCAGTATACAAATTGCAGTGGAAATCAGACAAAATCTTGCGCTTAAGACCAAAATACTATAAAACAAAAAAACCTACACATACTTGTCATGGAATGTCATGCTGCCCTTCACGGGCCCTTTATTGGAACAATAAATATTCTTATTCTGTACTAAATTATAATGAAATAGTCGGCATCGACTCGAAAAGAGGTTCCAGTTGACTTTCAAGATGGTCCAAGTAAATTTATTTGAACTTAAATTATGTTTTAAGTGAGTGAAGTTCCGTAAATCGAGTGATCTTTTGTTCAAGTTGCCTTGCTTATATTTAATATGTTAACATAATTGCGTGCTTTGATTTGTCATAGTAAACGTTAACAGATCTGCAGTTTGATTTTCAAATTACCGACTAACGCAAGAAAATATCTGCCTTGAATATTCCAAGACTAAAACACAATTGCCCCTCTGTTCAATAATCAGCATAAGCTGCAATTTTTATCAGCATTTAGGGTCTGTAATATTTGTTTGTTTGATTGACATGAACAAACATTCAATAACTTTATTATCATATCAAAAGGGGCATAACAATGAAGATAACAAATTCTAAATTTAAAAACAGAGTTATCTTTCTTTTGCTAAGTAAAACACCATAATGTTGTAATGAGGTGTATTTTATTTTAATAAATTAAACAGTTTATACAATTAATGTTCTGTACAATGTGGATAAAAATAAACAACTAGGAATATACATAAAATTGTATATATCAACAAACATTATACAAAGGTGTTCTTATATATCGGTGGCTCATTAAAACAGTTGGTACAGTGCATATAAAATATCAAATCGGCCATTGAATCTTGACTGAACACATTTAGTCTTCGTCAAGAGTATTGGCCTAAAGTGAAGCACATGACTATATGATTATACAATGAATTCAACATGTAATGCTGTGATTTGCAGTCAGCAAATTCAAATTACAATGTAACATACAAGACGGCTTAAATTAACAAATTCACAAAAATTAACAGACTATTTCAAAATTTTAGGTATACGCTGGAGTATGATGTCCGATCGGGGACAAAGTAGTTGGAAATCAAGTCTCCTCTATCACCAGAAATCTCTCAAATGGTTGTTTCAATGGTTGTTTAACGTGGCGTGCACTGTCTATACACACGTCATTTGATTTAACGTTCTCATTCCTACCGGACGTGGATGTGTATTTATACATCCAGTAAAGCCAAACAGAAGTTTAAAATTTTCCGCGATTGGGATATTTTTCATACATATTTTACGTTTGATTTTACACATTGAGATAATTAGCCAAGTATCTATTTCGCAACTATTGTCATATTCAAAAAGTCTTTAAATCTTAACTAAGTTCATAGTATTACTGTGTGCATTTTGAGTTTCAGACAATATTAAGCATTATTTTTGAAAATATTATAATACAAAATGCTAATATATGACTTAAAACAGATAGCACATTTTGAGTATATGTCAAAGTTCTATAGTAAATGAATCTGTCTTTTATCTATTTTTTCCCTGGCAATATAGTCAAACGAAAGAAAAAAGGAAGTAGTCGCAGTATTTCCGAATTGAAACTGTTATAAATAAGTCTCCCAAAAGATATTACTTTTTTTCAAATTTATTTCACCAGTTCC